TGCTCTTCCTCCAGAAACTTGCATGGCTGCATCCTTCTCATTACCGAGGCCTCTGCTAAAACATCCTCTTCTTAGAGGCCACCCTAGATTACCCTAGATCTGGAAGCCCCTGCCCTCCCAGTCACTCTGCTCCCGTCCCCTTTATTTTCTTCCCGGAATTGAATTACCAGTGGGAATTAAAGTATTTGTTTAATCCTCTACCTCTCTGAATTTTCATGAACTTCTGTTTCACAAGGGCGATTATTTTATATGCACTGGCAGCAGCATACAGTAACATACTTAGAATAAAAAAAAAGTGTCTGCCTCAACTCAGCTCCTTCTAAGATCTGTCCTTTGAGGAGGGGCAGTGGGATGTGTACTGAGTGTGGAGTCACATCTGGATTCAAGCCTCAGCTCTACCCCTTCTACCTGGGTGACTTCCAAGTTCTCCTAATCTCTTTGACCTTCTTTCCTTATCTCTAAAGAGAAATAATTCCTACTTTCTTGAGCTGTGGTAAGAGTCGTAAAAGACAGTTTCCTCCCAAGCCTGCCACTCACCTGGCGAGAGTTCAAGAAGACTGGAGTGGAGGTTGGAACCCTGTCTGCCAGCCCCGGAGGAGAGGGGCCCTGACAGGTGCTTCCACCTGAGCCTTCTCAGGGCGGCTCACCTGGGGGCTGCCCCCTCCTGGGCCCCCACCTTCCACCTTCCAGTCCTGTCTGCCCGGTCCTGTCTAACACACCCTAGGGACGCGACTCACCGGCAAAGAATTTCCCTCCAAGCCCAGGCCCGGGACTGGTGGAGCCGGATCTGGTCCCCCATGCGGCCCCCCAGCAGCAGCTCCCAGTTGTCCGCTTTTCCCCTGCCCCGCGACCAAGGCGCGCCCAGCTTTCACCGCCACTCCACAGTGCCGGCCGGCCCCCTCCTCGGGGCAGAACTCCCCTCCCCTCTCCACCCCCCCCCACCCCAGCCGTTACCAGCCCCAAGTTTCCGTCCATTCCAGGCAGCTTGGGAGCCTGCCGACGGGGGAGGGGGTTGTTCGGGAAACTTCAGCAGCTGGAGCCCCCTCCCCGCCCCGAGCCGAGGGGTGAGAAGGCAGGTGGGGAGTGGGGTGGGTCTAGTTCCCTCGACCTCCTCCCATCCCCTCACCTGCCAGTCTCAGCCTGGCCCGAAGGCAGGATCAAGCCCCCGCCCCGCCCGGGGTCGCCGGGGAGCGCTCAGCGGCCGTGGTCGCGGGGTGGGGAGGCGCCCGCACTCACCAGCAGCGGCGTGGCCAGCGGGGGGCCGGGACCCCGCGTCCTCGAGGCCCGCAGCGGAGGCGAGAGGGGCCGGAGCTGCGTCTCTGCAGTGGCGGCGAGGCGCGTGGCGGCAGGCACAGCCCGGGGCGGCGTGGAGGAGGGAGGGTCAGGGGAGGAGCTCGGGAGCAGCCCGCCGCAGAGGGTCGGGTTTTAGTCCAGACATTGTCACTCGTTCCCCCAGCAACCTTCTCCCGGGCTTGACGCCTGTCTGAGCCTGGGCTGCTTCTTCATGTGTGAAACGGGGGCATCTGTGGCCCTGGGCAGGGCTGTGGCAAAGGGATGGGATTCGGAGCGTGAAGCGCTCTAAACTGGTTAAGTGTCAAGTGGTCCCCGGACGGACAGCAATCAGGACTCGCCCACGTGCGTTACCACGGGTACTGTGTCCGCGCCCAGCGGGCCACTGCCCCCGCCTGGCGCTTGGTCTCGACCGCTCCCGGAGGCTGCCCTCCCCGCGTAGGTGCGTGGCTCAGGCTCCGCGTTCTGGAATGGGCATGGGCACTTTGGAGAACCAGGTTGGGGGGCAGACCCTGTGCCCGCAGCAGGAAGGGGCACTGCGCCTGGAAAGGAGATGGGGGGGATCCTTCGTCCAGGGGTGAGGGCCGGATGGGGAGAGGCCGTTGCCTGGAGTTACTGCAGGGGGCAAATCCCATGTGCGGTGTGGGGCGGGAGTAAGAGAGAAGTGAAGGAGCGGAGCCTGCGCTTTAGACCCCCTGCGGAGGGAGGCGGGGCCTGCGGTTGGGCCGGGCTGGGCTGGGCTCTGTAGACAAGGACGCTTTGTCTTATTTACTAGTGTGCCACGACTAGAAACGTAGTGAGAGCCCCGGGGCCTCAGCCTGGTCGGGGAACCCCCAGGGTTTCCGGCCTCCCGGGGAGGCCTGGTGTCTTAGTCACCAAAGGGCCTGAGCACTCCGTGTCTGGACAGAGATGATGTTGCTAGCTGGAGGGTGATTATACATGGCATCTTCCCAGGACTGTACTGGTTTATGCCTGTGGCCCTGGTGTAATCAACAGCGTCCCCGTTTACTCTCAAAAGTAACTCCAAACTTGGAAAGATCAATTACACCATCACCCTACCTACTACTCCTGGTAGAAAACTAATGCTGCACTGGGGGCTCAGAGACATCTTTGGTCCCGGCACTGTCCCGCAGGCTTTATTTCATCATCACAGTGCCAGATGAGGAAGGTACAATCCTTCTCACTTTTATGAATGAGAAAGCCGAGGCACAGAGAGGTTGTGTGACTTGCCCTGGGTCACACAGATAATAAGGGGCAGAGCCGGCTCTGGAGGCCTCAGCCATGTAGAGTTTCTGGATAGGGCAAAGCCACAGGGCAGAGGCCATCTTTTACTTTGAAAATCATTGCTGAGACTGACCAGTGCTGGGGTGGGCCGGGTACTTCTGTGCATGTGTCAGTGTGGGACTATGTGTGAGTATGATGGTGCCCTGTGGGGGGTCCATGACTGCCACCTGCACCTTACCTTCTCCGGCTCTGCTGCATTTCAGAGCAAAACCCGTTCCCCACTTCCTCACCTCCTAGTCAGCCTTCAACCCGTTGAACAATGTTTTCACCCAACCATGTAACTAAAGACAGCCCTATCAAGGGTGCTAAAAACGACAGTAATGTCTCTGTCCTCCTCCTGCACCTTCAGAAGTACCTGACACGGCTGACTGCTCCTTCCCTCTCAAAACACTTTCTTCCCTTGGCTTCCTTGACGCCCCACTCCTGGTTTCCTTGTACCTCGGAGGCCTCACATCCTGGTCTCAGCCTCTTCTCTCCTGGGTGAGCTCATCCAGTCCTCGGGCTTCCAGTACTGTCCATTGGCTGCTGAGTCCCACATTTCTAGTGCTTCTCGCTGAACACCAGACTATGTATCAGCGCTGCCCACCTGACCACTCGGTTTCCAGTTATTGGTTTTTCCTTCCTGAGATCAACTGCGTATTCGACTCTGTAGGTATTTATTTTTCCATTTACCCTATGGAGGTGTGCTGTGTACATGGTTCTGTACTTGGCTATTTTCATGTCCTTTCATGTAACAAAATATAGGACATTTCCTCTATCAGTAGATATAGAGTTATCTCATTTTTTTTTAATGCTTGAATAGTATTTCATTTTCCCCTATAGTAGATGGAGAGCTGTCTCTTAAAACAAACAAACAGCTGAATAGCATAGGTACTATAATATATTTAATCACTCCCATGTTGATGAAAATTAAGGGTGTTTTCAATCTTGTATTTCTTTCTGTTGTAAACATCATTGCAACAAATACACTTGGATAAGCATCACT